CACTCAGTTGAATAGCTATTCCATTTGGCGGTCTTATCTGCATTCTATAACCACAGAGTATTAATGACTGAAGGGGTAAAATATTCACAAATACATGACAGCACATATTAAAGTAAAGACAGATAATTATAATACCTGATGATTTACCCTATCACGATAATCTATAAGATTCAAATTAGTTGTAAAGGCATTTGTGTTACGTCTATATTTCTAGGTACAGTGCTGATTATACGGAAAAAAATATTGGAATCGTCGGCACGAATTAGTAACAATCTTATTTTGTACTTACTGTCTAAAGTTTAGATAATTAGCTTTAAATTATGACGATTGAAAGTTGTATTAAATAAGATCGTATGTTAGTAGCATTCATTCTAATTCACTTTCTGTACAATATAAGTAATATGCTTTAGCCCCGAAGTCTCCATTTACGTAATTTAAGTTTTAACTGTTATTAGAACTATCGAAATTTCACAATAAAAGAAAAAGATTGATAACGGAAGATTATATAAGAGCGAAAAATTAACATTTGGTCGAAGTATATCAATTTTACCATCGACTTAAAAGTTAATCGACTAAATTAAGCAGGTATAAATAATAACTAATGGTCTTTTATATACTTAAAAGAGTTAACGGAGATTACAGAGACCAGTAACAAACGATACATCATTTTATAGAGATCGTACGTACTGAAAAGGAAATACAAATTCAAATAAAACGACCGGAATTAATGCTCGGAACTTCCATAATCTATACGAGAATTCAGCTTGTAAGATGGGAAGTGCAGTCTCTCATGAAAACACTCTCAACATAGGTACACAGGCCACAGACGAATGCTTATATTAAATGCAAAATTACGTGGTACAACAGAATTACGAATATTCGCCCTGGCATTACATTTACATTTACAAATGAATTTAGACCGTTAACTACTTATAAGCTACAGTATTTAAGGATGTTTATTGCCTCAGTTGCCGCAGTTTTCTGAAGACAGACTAATTATCTATTAAAACGAAACTTATATATTCTTAAGAAGCCTTTATCGGCTGTTTGAGGTACAGTGAGCAATATTTTTACATTTCTACGTGATTGATCTAACACCTATAACCATTCCTATTGAGAAATTTTATTTCTAAAACAAGCATTATTTATCTAAGAGAACATTTTTAAACGACGTTGTACTTTTAACATAATTGAGAAGCTTTTCTTTAAGAGGTGGTGATTACATTTATAAGACGGAAACAGATATCTTCCTTCATAAAAGTGGACATAATAGATATTAAGATAATACGAGCTATTCTAATTCAATAATAAATATCTGCATATAAAGGGCATTTATTATGTCCCAAATATTCACATTTAATTTAGAACGTGTTTAAACATACATGTATCAGCAGAACATCACGTGTAATAAGAGTGCAGTGAAGCATAATTTACAATTCGACTTGCTTATATCGATTTCTAACATTATTAAAGCTGTACTATAATAAAACATTATAAACTGTGACGCAGAATCTTAAATTCCAGACAGTGCTGTCCAAAATTTTCTTATGTCTATAAATTATTAATTTAGGTATGATTTCGATTTTGGGAAGAAATGTTTCTTTCCATTAGTAAGAGTAGCAACAACTTATGTACCATATCTAAAGATATTTAGTGTACTCTCATTTGCTTAGATTACAAAAGCATTTGGCATCCACCATTCGATTAATCGATCGATAGTTTTTTTACGTAATTACACCCATTGTGTGGAAAGGCTTGATGCTGTCTTGTGCACTGGGGGAGGCTTTGGGACGGACACGTTGCATTTTAAAAACAAAAGACTGTGGCAAATCGATACAAAAAGACAACCACATACACAAAAAAGTCCCCAAAAAAGGAAAACACACCGCGTAAAATTCACGACGTATATTTATATATACACACACACACACACTTTGTTGTCAGTGTTTGTAACATTATCGCCGTTACATCCGGCGATTAAATTATTAACTTGTATTATTTTCCCATGCAAAGTGACTGTTGAATAACGGGTTCATACAGATGGATTTCTCCACGGTTATGAACAATTAACGTAGGGTGAAATGTTTCCGGGGGCCAAACTTCAGGCGTGGATCAACAAGGCAACAGCCTATCGAGTTAATTCACGTTTTATAAAACTCATAGGTCCTGTATCCATCGAGACAAAAGCCACAAATTCATATATCGATATACTGCTTGCATCTTACATCGATTGACAGCAAAGCCAAGTGCATTTCCACAAAACACACGAGATGCTGTTTCTTCAGAGCATTGTAGAGAAGCTAAAAGCTTGTCACGTGATCTTGACGGCTACGTTCAAACACGGAATTCTTCAACCGTTGCAAGGCAACGCAGAACGGACTCAATGCTGTCACCTAGAGACTATTATCAGGCGACTATAAGGGCGATCAGACGCCTGTGGAAGCTCTTAGATAATAGGAAACAAAAAATGCCCACCGGATATCAAGGCATCATTTTCATAGTGTTCGGTGTAGCTCAAAATCGGAAAACCTAACGTGTTGGGCATATCAGTGACTTGAAGCGCAATCTAGTGATGCCAACATTGCAAGAATTAAAAACACTGTCCACTACGTCGCTATAAACTACCTTGGAGGTTACAGAAAAGAACTCCACACGCAGTGCGAGGAGCGAATCCGTTCATTGCCCGCGCTGTGTTCGACCCCTATTCTGGTTGCAGCTGCGACGTTTTCTTAGCCGGGGGAGGCTGAAGTCGTGGCGGAAGAGGTTGTTCCGGCCTGTTGCTGCTCTCGCGGCGGGGGGTTGCTGTCTCCTAGCGATAGCGCCTGCACGATGCGCGGATCCGCCTTGCTGCCCTCCCGAAATTCTTCCAGCGTCAGACGATCGTCGTGGTTCTTATCCATCTGGTCGAAGATCTTATCCACTCGCTTCTGAGGCGTGTTATCGTCCTCTGCTGTGGGCTGCTGGCCCTGTGGACAGGCAGATATTCCACGTCAATGATCTTCGTCATTGCCCGAAGGAAGTTCTGAGATACGATTGGGCTTACAAGGCATGTTAAGGAACAGAAATTCTTTTACTTTGCGCGTTTAAGTGCATATCAACTCCAAAAACTTCTGGAAGTTGTTACAATTCTGATTACTCTTTATGAGTAATCTGGCGTGTTCCTTACGAGGTTAGTACAACAGAAATACGTCTGATTCGCATTCGATAATTACCTCGTTTAAATTCAGAAAATCATAACCGACGATTGCAGTTATTTTATTCAGTCCCTCCATGTCAACGTCCTCCCGTATCTGTGCTTACAATAATATTATAATTATTTATCATATTTTACTCGACGGGTTATGATAGGAGATGATACAGCATCGTTAAACAGTCATGCAGCTGTATTAAAACATATTGTTCCAACATCGTGTTGATGATGGGGACAGTAAGCCCCGCTAAAACGTCCTTTTATATCAACAAAAATTTTTCAACTTAGAACTAGTTGCAGACCGCCCCAGTCATTTCGTTCTTTAGACTCAACTGCTCTTCTACTTACCACCATCTGGTATATGGCGTCCACAATGTTGTACATCTCGTCCCGAGTGATGAAGCCGTCATTGTCCACGTCGTACAGTCGGAACGCCCCTGAAGCAAAGAACACAAACGTCACACAAAGTTGACTCAAACACTAGGTCACTGCCAGAAACAGAATTAACTGCCGATTAAGGAATGAGTTGGTAAAACCGGTCTGCATATTATTTCGCCGGACAAATGGTCTAATAACCAATAGCCGACGGTTATCTAAATGATGCACAAACCAGTTTTTACCCCAAAGAAAACAACGCTTCACCATTACAAAAATCAGTTGACTGTAGTTGCTTAGAGAAATAATAGCTGAAGATTTCTGTCTTCTGGGTTGTTGCGCTGTGTAGTCTGGTCGATGTTTATCAACGTTTCGGAGGTCATACTGCCTCCGTCATGACCTCTGAAACGTTCGTAAACATCGAACAGACTACACGGCTCAACAACCCAGAAGACAGAAATCTTCATACTCACCGCTGTGAGAACCTCAAGTCTTACACAGAAATAATAGCTGTTTATTCTGAGAATCACATGAAACCAATGCATTGCCTCTGTAGACAAAATATTTACCTTTATCTTTACATAATTAAGAAAGGACGTATTTACTTTAGTCGGTCAGGGCAAGTTTCAGTGGCAGGCTGTTGTGAACACGGTAATGAACTCACGAGTGCCATAAAAATGAGACAATTTGTTAGTCAGCTGAGCAACTATAAACTTTTCAAAAACATAGATACCTTCACTATTCAGATGGAATTCTTTAAATGAAAGAATAAATCCCACAACCGTTCAGAAACTTACTGTTTCTTTTTCGTACTATTTATTTCAATTCAAAAGACGTGTTCGTTATTACCCGTCTGTTACACAAGTCCAAATTGCCTTATACAGCTCACCGACTACACAAAGCTTCTTTGTCTGTATCTGCATTTAAAGGTAATTTCTTTTCCATTCACGTCTGATCACGTGTCTGGTTCTGATAAAGAGAAAAGGTTTTTCTTCGGTGAGGGACACAGTCAGCATGTCTGGTACCTTTTGTACCTACAGAGCCTGTTAAAGCTTTCTCTGATGGACGCGCCGCGTAATAGTGGGAATATCGAAAACACAAGATGTCAATTTGACAAAGAAAAACGCCAGGAACAGAAGTTGGAAGGAAGAGAAATGGATCACAAGGCGTAAATTATCTAATTTCCGGACAAAGATTGAAGATGCCACTTGGCAGATTTCTAGGGTCGACGGTCAGTTTCAGTCCGTGAACAGACGCGTGACGCAGCCAGTGAACTCGAATTCGAAAAACTGCAGTAACAGAACACGGAATCTTATTGGACGCTATAATCTATGATAGTTGGACAACAACGGAAATAAAAGACAAGCAAATAAAGTAGTCACCTGCTGCCCTATTTTTTCTTATTCGGCATGTTTTCAAGCGATGGTTCGTGGTATACCAGATTCCTTGAATTTTATCTGCTCCTTGCCAACGTCGCGTGCCAACATTTCGCAGAAAATCCCTCACTTTCAAGGAAATTTCTTCTAATATTTCATTCCGTACACAAGTTTTAAGAAGTGAAACTAAAACATGAGAAGAAACATGAAAATACAAAGCTACTTTTTTTATTTATTTATTAGTGTTCTGTCTAACGACAGGTCCATATGAACAGGATCCTTCCATCCTTTTCTCGGACTGGGACCTGTTCATATACGTTCTTGGCAGATGATCCAGAAGTGGTTTGCCATTGCCTTCTTCTGTGTGTGAATGGAGTAATTGTTGGGATGCCACGGAGAAACCGGGGAAGCCCCCGGAGGAAAACTCCGTGTTGCCTAGACCACGGCCTTGCCCAACACAAGTTATAAATTCGGGCACCGCCGGGAATCGAACCCGAGACCCCAGGATTACAAGGCCAGCGTTCTAACCGCTAGACCACCGTGGCCTGACGCACATTAATTTCTAAGCTAAAAAGCACTGTACTTATTTCCTGTTTATCTAACGACGTTGAGTGTAAATCTTACGAATGTAGTTGAAAGATAGGATGATTAACAAACAGTGAAATAGAAGTAATGTGTAAAGACGCAGTCGTGAGCTGATCTAAGGTACTTAACCCGGCAATGGCTTGGAAGGTCTGAGGATAGCCGGTAGCTGGGTCGAGATTTGAAGCCGCGACCTCTCGAAAACGAAGCAAGAGTTCTAAGTACTCGGTAGAAATGTTTGACGGGATACTAGTTGGTTGCGAGGTTGGACAATAAACATGTTTGTTTAAATCTTGTCAGTCTAATCACAATAAAATTC